CGTGTGCGTGTGCGTGTGCGTGTGCGTGTGCGTGTGCGCGTGTGTGTGTGTGTGTGTGTGACAGAGTTCATTTGTCTGGTAGCAAAAACAAAAATCTCACGAACCGGTCGACACATTTCAAATGAAATTCTCAAAAAGTAATTATTGGATTTACAACTGATTAACTGTTAAAATTACGTGCGCGCGTGCGTGCGTGCGTGCGTGCGTGTGTGTGTGTATCTGGACAGGACTCATTAAACATCTAAAGTGCGATGATTTTTGGACTCAGCCTGTGTCAAGATGGCCGCCACTTTGTCACTTTTACAGACACTGTGTTGAGTTTTGGTTAAAAGCTGAGACATATTCTAAGCACAAAACATTTAGCTGCATCTTTGTTTCAAACTTTAGCATGTTGGGACACTGCATACCTTCAGTGAGCAAATTTATGAAAACAGAAATAAAACCAACTAAATAATAATAACCCATTGTACCAACTAACATCTATGGACCCACCCAGCACCTGTGACCACACAACAACATGCTAAATCAATGGTCCCGTTGGACTTTGTACCTTAGTGGGCTGAACGATACCAAAAGAGTTGGACTCAGGGAGCTGGTGCAGCTGCAGCTCCGTCCTGTTGAGGAGACAACGTCAAGATTTTCTTCTCTATCACATTAAAACAAACGACCAAAGAGTGTTATACTCAAGTAAACTATTAAAACGCAACAGGAAGAAGACTAAAACATAAAACATTAATAGAACAAATAAATTATAGACACACCATAAAAACATCAGCTATACAGTATGTGAGCCATCATATCGAAATGAGGATTAAGTCAAATTTGGTCAAAATTTTAAGGTGTTTTTCCTCAAAATCAGTTTTTTTGTTGCTACTTATTATTACTATATATTTCAGGCAGTTCATTCAAATGATACATTAATAAGGCTTTTATTCATTATATTTAGACAAAATGCAATTTTTGTTAACATTTTAGTCAAAATACTATATTTGCCTATTTATCCATATACAACTTTTGGACTTAATCCTCGTTTCGATGTGATGGGTCACCTATTTGGACATCATGTTCAAATCAACAGTTGACAAGAAATAATTCAAAAGTCATGTAACAAAAAAGAAAAAAACAAACAAACATTGTTCAGATTTCTTTAAGTATCACCAACGATACTAACTTCATTACAAAAAGTTTCAGGAAATTAAAAAAATGTCAACATAAAAATATGCAAAAAAATTCTAAACTTTCCTTCATATTATTCCTGTTCAGAATTATGAATACTTAGAATTTATTTTTGATGTTTTTACTAAGTGAAAGGTTTGTTTTAATTGATCTCCTCTGCGTTCAGTTCCTCAGTGTTTCTCTACCTGCTCCTCTAGACTCCTCCCCCAACTCCTCCCTCTCCTGCTCGTTTCCCTCAGGTGTTCATCATTTCAGTTAATTAGCTTCCTTCTAGATTCAGCGTCTCGGTTCCTCTCCAGCTTCACTGAGTCTCCTACAGTTTGTTTGAGCTGTTTCTCTGAGTTTAGTCTCCCTGTAAGCTTACTCCTGTGAGTATTTTATGATGCTACAGGACCTTTTTGTTTTTGTTAATAAATTTGTCTCTTTTTTTACGTTGAAGCTCTCTAGAGCTTTCTGTGCCTGCTCCCTGCTTTAATGACACAGATTAGGTAAGGAGTTAAGACACTAAAAACACTTAACAACTTAATTGCTTTTATTTTGAAATGATTGGTTTAAATTCAGGCTTATTTTTTCAAAATACTGACATTATTTGGACATTTCTGGCAACTGACTCAACATGTTGAGATAAAAACTAAAAACTGACTTGACACAAACAGTAACTTGACGCGTTTCAGTCAGGTGTAGAGACAGATTTTCATTGTGTCGTGTTTCTTTTCTCAGCTGATGAAACAAGTTTCTATAAATGATTCCAGCTGAGACACAGAGGTGAAGAAAAGGGTCGTCTTGTTTGAGCTGATTGTTGAACTGACAGCCTGGTAGTATAGAAAGGAGCTAATAACAGCAAAAACTGGACAAATGTACATTTTGGTTTGAGTAGCTCTGATTTTTCTGACGTCTGAACTGTTTCAGAGGAAAAGATGAAGGCAAAATGCAGAACATTTACAGATTAGAAGCAGTTGGCATGGTGTAAATATTGATCTACAGCGGGTAAAATAAGTATTGAACACGTCACCATTTTTCTCAGTAAATATATTACTAGAGGTGCTAATGACATGAAATTTTCACCAGAAGTCGGTAACAACCCAAGTGATCCATACATACAAAGAAATCAAACCATAAATGTCCAGAAATGAAGTTATTTGTAATAATGTGGAATGGCACAGGGAAAAAGTATTGAACACACTTACTGAAATTTATCTAATACTTTGTACAAAAGTCGTTGTTGTCAATGACAGCTTCAAGACGCCTCCTGTATGGAGAAACTAGTGGCATGCATTGCTCAGGTGTGATTTTGGCCCATTCTTCCACACAAACAGTCTTCAAATCTTGAAGGTTTCGTGGACCTCTTCTATGAACTCTGATCTTTAGTTCTTTCCATAGATTTTCTGTTGGATTCAGGTCAGGTGATTGGCTGGGCCATTCCAGCAGCTTTAGTTTCTTTCTCTGAAACCAACTGAGAGTTTCCTTGACTTTGTGTTTGGGCTCATTGTCTTGCTGAAATGTCCAGCCACGTTTCATCTTCATCATCCTGGTAGATGGAAGCAGATTTTTATCAAGAATGTCTCTGTACATTTTTCCACTCATCCTTCCTTCAATTATTTGAAGTTTGCCAGTACCATATGCTGAAAAACAGCCCCACACCATGATGTTCCCACCTCCAAACTTCACTGTTGGTATGGTGTTTTTGGGCTGATGTGCAGTGCCATTTGACCTCCAAACATGATGTGTATTCTGGCATCCAAACAGTTCAATGTTGGTCTCATCTGACCAGACTATATTCTCCCAGTATTACACAGGCTTGTTTAAATGTTGTGCAGCAAACTTTAAAGGAGCTTCAACATGCTGTTTCTTCAGCAGTGGAGTCTTGCGTGGTGAGCGTGCATACAGGCCATGGTGGTTCAGTGCATTACTTATTGTTTTCTTTGAAACAATCGTACCTGCTAATTCCAGGTCTTTCTGAAGCTCTCCACAAGTGGTCCTTGGCTCTTGGATAACTCTTCTGATAATTCTTTTCACTCCTCTGTCAGAAATCTTGTGAGGAGCACCTGGTCGTGGTCGGTTTATGGTGAAATRATGTTCTTTCCACTTCTGAATTATGGCCCCAACAGTGCTCACTGGAACCTTCAGAAGTTTAGACATTCTTCTGTAACCGATGCCATCATTATGCTTTGCAACAATAAGGTTGTGAAGGTCTTGAGAGAGCTCTTTACTTTTACCCATCATCAGATGGTTCTTGTGTGATACCTGGCCATCATTTGGGACTGAACCAGCTGATATTAACTTGCACTGACAAGGGGCAGGCTTGCTTTCTAATTACTGAGAGAGTTCGGCTGGTGTCTTGGCTTTCCATGCCTTTTTACACCTCCCTTTCTTCATGTGTTCAATACTTTTTCCCTGTGCCATTCCACATTATTACAAATAACTTCATTTCTGGACATTTATGGTTTGATTTCTTTKTATGTATGGATCACTTGGGTTGTTACCGACATCTAGTGAAAATTTCATGTCATTAGCACCTCTAGTAATATATTTACTGAGAAAAATGGTGACGTGTTCAATACTTATTTTACCTGCTGTATATTACTGGATTGGACATCGCCCATAGCCGCTATAGCTAGCAACGTGCCGTCACAGGAGCGATTGCTATGCATTGAGTCATGTCAACAAAACGGTAGAGTTTCAATGCGGGATGCGCGTCAATCTGTCACAAAAATATTCATAGCACCCTCATTTCTAATCCAATTTATAAAAAATATGGCTTAAATTAAAGCTGAGAATATTGCCGATGTTGTGATACTTTCTTACTTTTTTATGCGTACGCATTATTTATACATGAGGCCCCTGGTCACAGAAACATTTCTTTTATGCTTACTGGTAAACTACAGCAGGCTCTGTTCCCGTGGCTTCTTTCACAAGATGTCACAAGTGTGTCAGGGCATTAACTGCCAAGCTGCAGTTGATAATGTTTAGAAAATTGAGTTATTTATTTTTGTTTTACATATACACTGTCCTGACAGTAGAATATGAGACAAATAATCTGTGGGAAAATAAACTGCTGCTTTCTGAGAGTTCTGAATGGTCCATAGTAGCTGCTTATCTGTCGTCATTGGTGGCCCTGCTGCTCACCACCCTATGTGTTTTTGTTTGGATCGTTATTAAAACAATATATCTTTATTGTCATTGTAACAAGTACAACAAAATCAGGTGTACTATGTTTATCCATTAAACTGAAGCTGCCATAAAATAAGAAACTGTTTATTTCTGTACAATTGAGCAAACTTACAAAGTAAGTAAGAGAATGTTGGGATAATTCTCTTCTTGTAAGGAAAGTTTTCCCCTTCTTAGGTAAACTGGACTGTACTTATAAAATATCCAAACAGGATAGTTAAAGTGCTTTAAAACACAACGTGTGCCCTCATTGATTCATTCACACACAGAATTATCCACACATACAGAACTCCACTAACTCTCTCTACAAAACTAATCTGTATAAATCATTCTAGAGTACTATAGACCAGTGTTTCCCAAAGTTGGGGTCGGGACCCAAAGTGGGGTCCCAAAACATCAAGGTGGGGTCCTGAAAAGGTTTTCTAATTTAATTACATTTTTGCCTTAGTTGTTTACAAAGGAGTGAGGTCAGTATATTTAAAATGGATAAATGTAGTATAAAAAATATCATTACTATGCCCATGTTTTGTTGACCTGATACAAATGTTTATCATCCAAAAATAGTTGGGGGCACAGGTCTCTGCTACTGTTATTTTGTGGGTCAAGAGCTGAAAAGTTTGGGAACCACTGCACTTTGGTTCCCAAAGTTGGGCTTGTGACCCAATTATGGGTCATGAAGCACCTTGGATAATCTCCAGAAATCAATTTAAAAGGTAATAAAATAATTGCTGATGTAATATTTTCTCTATAGTTATTACAAAAACACAAAATATGTAAAAAAATAAGCATTCATATTTGTGTACAAGCTGTTTAGATTGTCAAAAAGCCTGTGTTTTTAGGGTTATTAATGAAGATCCTGTACTCAGACCAGTAATATTTGGGGTCTCAAGTTTTTGCCATGGATATTTTGTGGGTCAGAAGATAAAAAGTTTGGGAACCACTCCTTTAGATCACACTAATACAATATATAGTGGTGGAATCAGACTCCCAACTCTCTCATTGGAGGACGTCTGCTCCAATCACTGAGCCACAGCTGCATTTTGTAGAGAAAACACACACGTTACCTCATCTCTGTACTGAGTCCTGCCAGCATCTGAGAGAAGACCAGGAAGTTACTTTCTCCTGCTGTTTTCTGACACACTTTCCACTTGTCCAACATCATAGTCTGAATGACAGCAAGGCACAGACCAACAGAGAGAGAAATTAAACATAAAAGCATTTGGCTGCATTAGTGTGTACTCTGTGTGTGTTGTGTACCTGCAGGTGTCCAGCTGCAGCCTGTCCAGCATGATTAAAGTCCAGTGAGAAGACCATGGCAAATCGAGACGAGGCGTCGCTGTGCTGCGAGCTCACGCAGCCAAAAGAACGCAGGATGGTGAACATGGCCTGCACTCGCTCCACTGGGGAGGAGAAAAGAAAGGATCAAAACCAATTAGCTTGTTGTACTCTGAAAAACAAATGCTTTTACAAAGGTTCTGATCAGTGGTAGGCAGCACTAATCCAAAAATTAGCTCTGCAATTTCTAAAGCGCTTATGAAAATATTTAGGTCTGCAACTTCAAAAGCGCTTACGCCACAGAAAAACTAGCGTAAGCCAATTTTAAAGCAAAAGTCAAATTTGACACTTGCTAGCTGACAATAATTCATGTTCAATATATGTACAATACTGCCACCTAGCAGTGTATGAAGTCCTTTACAACTTAATTCTACAACCGCCGATTGCTGGGGATGTGATTTCCTGAAACAGAACTTTGGCTGTCTGGTCCTTGCCTTCCTACGTAGCTCCGCTCAATTCTAGTTTCCCTTCACTGCTCCGTCTGGGACTTCTCCCATTGAGATGGATTTCACTGGCAGATATTTAGCCAGGCCAATCAGAGCTTTACAGCTTGACTGTAAAGTTGAAGAAAAATATGTTTTTGTTACAAATAAAAAAACTAAAATATGACCCCCATTAGCACTCGGTATAATGGGGGTCATATTTTAGTTTTTTTAATCTAATTTTAATCTCAGTGTAAATCTAGCTGTTCTGTGAACCTGAGTTTGTTCCAGAGCATTAGTGATCCAACAGCATCAGGAAGACCAAGGATCACAGCAGACAGGTCAGGGATATACAGTTTTTTTTCCCACCAATGTCCACTAAAGCAATGTGAATCTCAGAATTACCTTTCTGTATGTACAGGCCCAATTCCTGTATTTTTACAAGTATTCATACTTGTACAAAATGACCCGATATTCGGAACGAGTGAAGTGAAGGACAGGGTCTGGTTTAAACCAGGCAATTTGGCTCCTGGTGTTAAAAAATTTAAAAGTTGTTGAGGATTGCTAGTTCGGCTGTTTGTTTGTCTTTTTCTTTTGTTTGTTGTAGATTTTTCATTAAAGAAGCATCAATAAAGTAATTTTAAAACTGTTTATTGGAAAACTGAAGCGATGCATTCTGGGTACATGACGGATTTGATTTGTGACGGGAAACGAAAGCATGGAGTACAGGAAACTATCTTCCCTTCAAAATAAGAGCTTGGATTTTAAAGTTTTCCATGTAGTTGCTCCAGTTCTATCCAGAGAAATTTGGCATTATCAAAGTGTGACGTGTTTTGATTACATTAAATCTGATGTATGTACTTATAAAATTTATAAAATTTTCCATTAAGAGGTTATAATTAGGATCTCTTCTCATGTTCTGATGCATTGTTTTGTCTCTCCTCCAAGAGACTTCTTCAGTCTGATGAGTTTCAGGTGAACTCAGCCTTATAAGCATTGCCTCCACATGGTGGACAAACAGGTTGGTCACATGCAAAAGAGAACCATCGCCTAACAATAGATGGTTCTCAAATGACGTAGCGACCTGCATATCACATGATCAAATCACCATATTTGTGGGTCAGAATGCAGAAGAGGGGATAGTCTACAGCACAGAAAAATAAACATCTGGTCTACAGTCTAGATTGTTTTTATTATAATTTGTTTTAGCAGTCATGGAGCAAGTTTGAGTTGGAGTTAGTTGAGCAGCGAAACACTCATAAAAAAACTGACAGCGTAAAAACACCATACTACGTAGCAGAACTGTCGGCAAAGTGACGTGACTTTGTGGCTGGTGATAATCAACCACAAAGATTTCACCCTCCTCGGGATTCCAGAGTGTGTTCAGATCACTTGTTCAGCACAGAAAAAAAAAAGTTTTATTTCCCTGAAAAATCCTCTAGGTGCCTCTAACAATAAAACAGAAAACACAACTAAATTATTATTTTTCCTTTGGGATCAGTAAAGTCAGTCTGTTGCTCTAAAAACTGAAAAAAAAGTTTAATTCCTTAAAGCAGAGGTTCTCAAACTGGGGTCTCAGGACCCCCAGGGGTCGACAAGCTGTATCTGGATGGTCCTCAGAAATTTTCAATAAATTGTTAATTTGGTTTTATTTAAATATATATATGCAAATGGGCAACAATGCACTCATAAAACAAATACACTAAACCAAACAAAAAATACTATTTCCATGGAATTCAGGGGTTAAAATGAAAGTAAATTATTTTATTATTACCTAATTTCCCTCTGGGATCAATAAAATATTTTTGAATTGAATTTGAATTGAATTTTAAAACACCATGGGTTTTACCTGGACAATTTTCACCCTTATAAGGGGTCCCCAGACTCAAAATGTTTTGAGAACCCATGCCTTAAAGGCACAGTGTGTAGAATTTGTTGTTTTCAGCGACATCTAGTGGTTGAGTGGTTGAATCATCCTCCCTGGTCCTCCCCCCACCCCCGCTTCCAAACRCAAAGGAGTTKCTACGGTGTCTCTCAGGTGTCAAAAACCTTTGATAATTCCAACCGCGATGTCTACCAGCAGCTTCAGGGCTAGTGATGTTTCAAGTGGTAAGATTATGAGCTTTAATAAGTAAAACTATCCCAGCTACAATGACAGACAACAAATATTACATTTATAGTATTTCAACTAAAACCGTTTTTGACGCTGCCACCGCAGTTTGTCCTTCATGAGCCTTCGTAGACAAGTTGGCGGCTGCCTGTGTGGCGACCCACGACCATGGAGATATAAACAGCTTTTTATAGGGTAAAAATAATAAAACAAGGTCTTTGTCTGCAATGATTAGACATGTTTTTTTATTATTGTCATTAGTGATTATCTCAATTTCGGCTAAAAGAATTGACAAAATCCTACACAATGTGCCTTTAAAGGAGACATATCATGTGACAAATACCTCAGGTGATCTGAGTCTGTGTTGGGGTTTGAGCTCAACATCTGTAAAAAAAAAAAAAAACTACAAAACTTTAAAAGATGCTGTGACAGTCATCTTGGACAGGGTTAACTCCAAAAGTTAGCTAGCTGCAGTTGGAAATCTAAGAATTACTTTTTGAATGTTTAATTGAAATCCATCTAGTGATTCACAAGACTTTTGCTAGCAGACACACATAGCAAAGCAATTAAATGATTGCCCAAAGTATCTGGTACATTCTTGTACATACCTTGTAAGTACAAGGTGTAATACTGGGCTGCATTTTGTTTTACTTCCTTGAAGACTATAAGTATTTGTTTTTAAAGCAGGCAGGTACTCACCACTCAGACTCTGTCCGGTTGTACCGGCTTGTTTAAGGAGTGCGTGTGTGAAAGCTTGACTCGCTGTGGTCTTTCCTGTCCCGCTGCGTCCAACGACACACACACTGTGGTCCCTCCTGGTGCCCACCATGGATAAATACACCCGTTTGACAAGAGCTGCCAGAGCAGGGGGGGCGTCCCACACAGACTCCCCTCGCCGCGACTTTGGGGTCTGAAGGAAAATAAAAATAAAAGCATGAACGATCCCATACACTTTGCTGTTGTAAGACTGTTATATTTGCAGAGAGAGAATATTTTTTTAAAAAGACATGATGTTTGATCTGACCTTGCTGTGGGTCTGCAGGGGGGGCCACAGGCTGACCAGGTTGGGTCCGGCAGACGTGAGGGGCATGTTGGTTTTAGCTCGGCTGATCAGTGTGTGCAGAACTCCACATTCATTCACACTTTGAAGGTCGCTCAGGTCCTCACACAGGTCTAACTCTGGGGGGTTACACTGTGGGGGGGGGGGACAGTTTGTTAAAGGGACACTTCATCAAAACATCAATCATGAACAGATAAAATTAAACTGTTTCTTATCCATCTCATTTTGCTACACATCCTTAAAATGTTTAGTCTGTACTTATAAGCAACTCAAACAACAAATAAAAGAACAATGTTCAAACTGATTCGATATAACAAAAGTAAAACATTTGTATAAAAATGCTGTGAACAATAAAACTTCTTAATTTCCAATGAAAAATACAAGAGCTGGTGGACATACTGTATTAGTCTCAAAGGTCAAGCAGCTGTCAATAATTGTACCAAGATATCTGTAATGTACAGCTTCTACAGCCTGTCCATGGATAAAAACTGGAGGGCATGGAGGAGGCTTCTTTCTAAAATCAATTAACATTTCTTTGTTTTCGAGACGTCCAGAAAGAGCTACTGAGAGAAGCTAGCGTGTTAAGATACGCATAGTTAGCCGTCATGTGCAAGCTTGATTGGTGTGGTTTTCCCTTGAGAAGTAGGCTATTCCACCTATTTTTTATTTTAAACTTTATTAAATTCTTAAAATACAAAATTCTATATACAGTACAATAAAAAAGAAAGAAAATACAATGAAATGAAAGGCAGCACAGAGAAGAAAAAAATCTCACATCTGCCCCTTTTTCCTCAAGTATAAATTCAAACAATAGTAATTTTCAGTTAACAAAACAAAAACCTTCCTAGAACAACAATTTTATGAATGCACATTTTATTATTTCGTTTTTTTTTTTTCAACAATCCAACCTTTATTATTCCCTTGAACATGAACAGTGATTTGGCACTTTTAACATCAATTTCCAGATCATTCTGACTCCTTGGATTAAGGCGCAAAATTCTTTCAAACATGTTGTAAATTTAGGTTTCATGAACAACTCTATCCCTTTTACATTATAACAGCTCTCTCTCTCTTTGCAAAGATTTTCTGGATGTTTAAAGGTAATGTGTTTTTGTGAGCTTTATACATAACTAACAAAATATTGTAATCAACCAAATCGTAAAATTTCAATAACGTCAATTTACAAAATAATATATTAGATGGATAATGGTAACGTTTGAGTGATAATTCTTATAGCTCTTTTCTGCAATTTTATCACCTGTTTCCACTTTAAGACACTTGCTTTTATTTTTCTCAGTCGTGTGCAAAAAAATCCCAAATTGAACTTTGCTGCTTTCTCCCAAATTTTTGCCGTTGCCATTTGGTAGACCAGCGCTGATCAGCAGCAGACTGTAAACAAGTGTTGTTACAGACCACAGCTAATGTGAAACTGATCCAAGATTTGTTTAATCAGTCCACACGGCTTGAAATAAGTTGACTAAAACTAAGGATATTTTATTTGTATAAAGTTAGTTTTAGTTAATTTGTAGAAAAATAATACAGTTCAGTTTGTTGTTGCTTTTTCATTTAATTACAGTTTTTATTTATTTCATTTAACTAAAGTGTTTTATCAATTTCAGTTTTGGTTATTTAGTTAACTTTAGTTAACTCAGATAACCCTGCATCATTGAACTCTAATCAGTTTTAAATCCCTGCAAATGAAAAGAATTAAAATACATTCCCACTGCATGATGCTGCCACCACCATGCTTCACAGTAAGGATAATGTTGTTGAGAGGCGTTTGCTCCTAATGCTGTCTTTATTTCTTGAAATAATGTATTTCCTGACACTTTCAATAACTTCCATCAGTTGAAGTTATTGAAATTCTATGATTTGGTTGATTATAACATTTTGTTAGTTATGTATAAAGCTCACAAAAACACATTCGGCTTCATGCAAGAACCGTTCGTACACACAGATTTGTTCATAAGTTGTGCGTACGAGTGATTTAGGAGAATTTGTGGCATTCACCAATGTTTTCGTATTCTAAGAT